GCAAGTCCGTTTGCTTTGATATATTATACATATAGGTACTACATGTGGACCTCTCTCAGATTTGTTCATTTTCTAATGATATCTGTTCTTTAATTGCCATGTGCATTGCTAACAGCGGAGCTATCTCAGCCGACAGGCTGCTTGTTTATATATACAAGGCCAGACTTTTTTTTATTCCTTGTTTCTCAAGTTTTTATAAGGCAATTTTTTTGAGGGCAGAACAAAAATAAAATCAACTCTTTTTTTTCCCCATTAGATTTGTGTGATTCTCAAAGAATTGTAAATGAGATCGTTTCTCATCTGTGTGAGACCTCGGTACTAATCATGATACTCCCACGAAAATGCAACTTATATTTTTTTCAGCATATTTGCGCTTACAAGACGCTGAAATAAAATTTTATTTGTATTTAATTTTCGGCTCCTGTTCATTGGGCGAGTTCGCGAAACAAGGGATAATAAAAGTTGGGCCTAATGCTTTTATTTTTTGATACAAACTGTTAACTGTACAAATAAAATCTTCTATTGTGTAGATTTTATTTTGTTTGATCATCTTGCTTTTTGATGTCGATGACGTACATTCATGCAAGTAAGTCATACATCAAGATAATGAAAGGGAAGACAGAAGGATTACCGTTGCAAGTTTAGTTGTGTGTAGGATTTAATAATAGCTCATTCATTTATGGAAACTATTTTGTAAAAATAAATAAATATATATTATGCATATTTAATTGTACTATATATGCACGTTACAAAATATCATGTCAAAGGTCAAATGCCACTCCCACTCAGACTTGTTTAATTTTCAAACCGTGGAGAACCCTGATGCAACAAGCACAGGCTGATAACATTTATTGTGCATAAAGAACCATATCATTTAACAAGTATTGTTTCTTGCAGATGCTTCCCGAACATATTTCTTTACCAAACGGAAAGAAGTGAAAAGAATAAATGCTGGAAAATCCATCGAGTTTAAAAAAAAACAGGCCAGAAGGCAAAGAAAACAGCAGGTACTAATATTTTACATAGTGTGATTTCTATTTCCTTCACCATTGGCAATTTATTTCACGTTTATACCTGCATCACCTATATTTCTGACAATGGTGCTTCCAGGAGGCTTTTGCGTTATATTTCAGGTGATGCATACATGAGCTATCGTTATTTAGTGAACAAGTCACCTGGGACCATTTTGTACAATCATTTGAAATCCATTATTGTTAAAACTTGTCTTAATCTGGAATTCCCATGCAATGTTCATATAAAGTGTAACTGAGTTGCGGCGTCAAACACAGACTTAGGATTTGTCACATTAGAATTGTCTGAGCCATACTCTTACTTTCCTATTACTGGGATTTTCTGTCACTGGGTCATTCAACTTCAAGCAAAATCTAGCAACTGATCAGATTTTTTTTTTCAACAGAAACTCAGCAGAAGAAAATCAGCACTACAAAATAGTTCTTCCGTTAATGAGAATGACAAACATTTTTTAACGCTTGTTCTGAAGACAGAGTATATAAGCTCTGAAGACTCTGACTCTGCACCTGAGACACAAGATGATGATGATGATGATGATGATGAAATAAATATTCCTGCTGGACGCAGGGCAAAATCACTGTGCGTGAGGCCACTGCCTTGGCGTTCAGAAACTCTAAATCGATGGTTTAAGTTCTTGGATGCCCGGCATGAAAAAAAAATAAGAAAGATGGGAGTCAAGCCGATGCATGTGAGGAAGGAAGGTGCTCTTTCTAAGAGAGACCCACCACTGCACCCTCCAATGCGAGCAATAACAAATCTTTAAATTTAAAGGCTCTTGTAGTAAAATTAAAATTCAAACTTAGTTTGGGCTTGGTCACATTTTTTTGCTTTCACAATTTATTAATGTGATTTTAGTTTTAGTTTTTTTTATTATTAAAATGTACTTTTGTATAAACTTATATTGCTTCTTCAATACTTTTCATTCATGTTTTTTACTGGTGTAGTACCATAAAGGGTGGCATAGCACATTTGTACTGCCTTTGCCACTAGTGAAATATGTGATATATATCACATTTGACCCCTGCGTATAGATTAAATGAATAGTAATGCATTTGTACCACCTTTGCCGCTAGTGATATATGTGACAAATATCACATTATTTGACTCCTGCGTATAGATTCAATGAATAGTAATACATTTGTACTACCTTTGCCACTAGTGGAATATGTGACAAATAACACATTGTTTGACCCCCTGCATATAGATTCAATGAATAGTAATGCATTTGTACCACCTTTGCCGCTAGCGATATACGTGACAAATATCACATTATTTGAC